CGGAATCATATTAATCATAGTATAAGACTCACGGGCATGCTTGCCACCAGCGTATAGATACTCGTCACCANGCTTAATAGAAATTATCATATAGAGCATAAACAATACGAAACAGAATCACATTAATCATAATATAAGACTCATGGGCATGTTTGACACCAATGTATAGATACTCGTCACCATGCCTATACATCGTACTCAACAATTAACACACATAAAATAGGACACAACTCCTAATCCTTCAAGCTAAGGTTAGACCAAACACTTACCTCGCTTTGAAACCAATTAGAAATTCCAACAAGCCTTTGCCTTGCGAATTCGTGCACGAATTCTCAAATCTAGTCATAAACAATTCGATTCAGTTAATAAAAATTATAGGAATTAATTCCATATAAAATTCTACATTTTCCCATTAAAAATCCGAAATTGCACTAAAATTCGCCCGTGGGGCCCATGTCTCGGAACCCGACAAAAATTACGGAATATGAAACCTCATCCAACCACGAGTCTAACCATACCAAAATTACTAAATTTCGATAATATTTCGACCCTCAGATCCTCAAATCTATCTGAGAGAGTTTTCAAACTCTTCCAACTAAATTCAGAGAATTAATACCAAAACTAGTAATAGATTCGGGTAATTTAACCAAAATTAAGTTAAGAACACTTACCCCGTTGTCTTCTCTGAAAATCTCCCGAAAATCGCCTCTTCCCGAGCTCCAATTCGTTAAAAATGGCCCATTTTCAGAACTTAATGTCCTGTCCAGAAAATCGTCGGTACTGTTCACGCGTTTTTACTATTCACGGGGGTACTGTTCATAGGTACTATTCACGAGGCACTATTCACGAGGTACTGTTCATATTGCTGAAAAAAATGCAGCAGCTGCCCAAAGAGAATTTCAGCAACTTTTTCCGCCCGTTAACCTTCCGAAATCCCCCCCCCCCCGAGGCCCTCGGGACCTCAACAAAATACATCAACCAGTCCTAAAACATCATACGAACTTAGTCGAAACCTCAAATCACACCCCAATTCAAGCCTAATGAAACTAAGAACATTCAATTTCTATATTCGATGCAAAAACCTATCAAATCAAGTCCGATTGACTTCAAATTTTGCACACAAGTCATAAATGACATAATGAAGTTCCGAAAATTTTCAGAACTAGATTCCGACCCCGATATCAAAAAGTCAACTCTCGGTCAATTTTTTCCAAAAATCTACTATTTTCCAACTTTCGCCAAAATGCGCTGAATTGTCCTACGGACTTCCAAATCCAAATCCGAACATCCTCATAAATCCAAAATCACCATATGAAACTATTGGAATCATCAAAATTCCCTTCCGGGGTTTTTTCCTCAAAAGTCAAATCTCCGGTTAAACTTAAGAAATCTTTAGCCTTAAATTTCTAGATTTCGTTAAATAGCGATAATTTGATCTAGGGACCTCCAAATTCGCTCTCGAGCATATGACCAAGTCCCAATTCACGATACGGAACTACCGAAAAGGTCAAAACTTTTATCCGTGTTTGTTTGCTCAAAATGTTGACCGAAGTTAACTCAATTGAGTTTTTTTTAAAGCCCTAGTTCGCCATTTAATCCATTTTGTTCTACATAAGAGCCTTCCGAAAAATTATATGGACTATGCACACAAGTCAAGGAATTATTGATAGTGCTTTTCAAGGTCTTAAAATACCGAGGTAATTATTTAAATTAAAGATGACATTTTGGGTCATCACATCAACCTCTCGACCCCGACCGAACCAGCATGACGACAGCCAAATTCAGCGATGGGAACGAGTGATATCCGCTCATCGAGGACGTTTAAGGCTACGACCTCAACAAGCGGAGGGACTAACTGTATTGGTCCAAATTTGGTTACCACAACGACGACGGATAAGCGAGATTAGGGAACAGAGTCATTACAATATGACGATTGACAATCGTCGTGGCAGAGGACGACGACCAGAGACGAGCAACCGAAGTGAGGTAGGGTCGGTAGTGTCACCTCCGAAAGAGACAGAACGAATATACCTTTGGAATATTCTTTGTGCTGTACTTCTTAGGGTTTTTTGGGGAATGTCCCTTATAAATAGGAGGAGATAGTAAACAAGGGGGAACTGCCTTTATCTACTATTGAGAGATATTGTAAGATTGAGAAAAGAATATACCAGAAAGTTGTCTTATTCATAGCATCCATATACTTGTTGTTCATCATTTTTATCCATAGATCACAAGATCCCACTTAGACATTGAATGCTTTCCGTTCCACATCGCCAGAAAAAGGAAACATCCAATCATATGATCATTGGGTGACTATTCCTCTATACCATAATCACTACTATTTTTTGCATTTATTACATGTTTATGATATTATACATCTTGTCACTCATAACATAACGATTTCTTTATCTAATGCTATAAACGCGACTCATCGTACAGAAGTTTAGTCCTCATTTAATCTAGTGATTATTAAATTCAATTGAGATTCATCCTATCAATTTACATTAATTAGTTTCGCATTTATTTGCATAAAAAATATGGCACGAGGGATAAGATATAATTAATTATGATATTATTTTTGAAATGAGTTTATCTCATGTTTGATTTTGATAAAATTGTGGTATAGTTAATTCCGAGATACTTAATATTTTTTTATCCCTATGTGAGGGTGGAATAACTAATCCCGAGATAGCTAATCTTAGAATAATTAATCATGGGATAACTTGTTTTCCAACAAAACGACCCCTAAACTATTACATTTTTGTGAGTTTCCTATCTAAACTATTCAATATCCCAAGTTCCCCGGAACTATATTAAGTGAATATATTAAAAAAAACCTAAACTATTATACTTTTTTCAAATTTCCTATCTAAACAATTCAGTATTCCCAAGACCCCCTAAATTATATTGAGTGAATACACTAAAAAAACCTAATTATTTGAAGAAATACTTATTTACATTTACTTTGTAGCAAAAAATCAAATGAAAGCATATAGAGTTGCATTTTTTGAAAATCATCTTATGTTACATAATATAATTCAGGGGGTGGATGAAGTGGAAGCTTGCGTCTAGTGTTTTATGTGATGTGCCTCCAAAACTTAAGGACAAGTTAAGTGGTAGTGAGGCCGACTATGTTGTATGGAGCCGAGTGCTGGCCAGTCAAGAAATTTCATGTCCAGAAGATGAAAGTAGCAGAAATGAGGATGTTGAGAAGGATGTATGGGCATACCAGGAAAGACCAGGTTAGGAATGAGGTTGTTAGGGACAAGGTGGGTATGGCCCCGATGGAAGACAAGTTGCGAGAATCGCGACTGAGATGGTTCGGGCATGTAAAAAGGAGAGACACCAATGTCCCAGTGAGGAGATGCGAGAGGTTGACCATAGCGAGGCAGATAAGAGGTAGAGGGAGGCTAGAGAGTACTGCGAAGAGGTGATTAGGCAGGATATGACACTACTTCAGCTTACCGAGGACATGGCCCTCGATAGAGAGGTGTGAAGATCGAGGATTAGGGTTGTGAGTTGACAAGTAGTCGAGAGACTCTTCTAGTTTTACTAGTAGTACTAGTACTGTAGTGAGAGTACTAGTACTGTAGTGAGAGTGGGTTGTGTCTGTGTGAATGAGTATAGGCAAAGGAGTCGAGAGTTCCTTGTTGTTAGACAATGTGCAATTATTGGGGGTAGTTTTTGCACTCCTCTTGTAGCTTCGTATTCCTAGTTCCTTTCCTATTATAGGTTGTGTTATTTGTTTCTGTTATCTTATTTTCTTGCCATTATTATTGTTTTGTTTATTGTGTCATTTTCACTGTTCTTGAGCCGATGGTCTATTGGTGTATGGGGTTGCATTGGTTTTTTTTTTGTTGTTGTCGTCGTTGTCATCCTATGTTACAAAACAAGATTCAACAAATAAGAAAACAAGATGGACAGCAACTCCATTGCCTACAATGTGCTGGGTTTAATAAGAAAATTTAAATAAGTGTTCGTTCAATATATGGGTAAGAAATAAAAGAAGATTAAAACAAGAAACATAATAAATAATTTCATGAGAAACAAAAGAGGGAGAAAAATTTTCAGAGAGAAACTAGATGGAGAAAAGTGTGAGATAAGTAAAAAAATAAAGAAGAATCTAAAACATAATAAAGGCAACAAAGAGAAAATAAAAACTTAAAAAAAGATCATTTTTATCCATTACACACAGTCAGATGGATCCACTTTGATGGTTATTTTCATCTATCACGATCACACACTTTTTTGCGAGTTATATGAGACATATTTTGCCGCCATACAATCAATGAGGATAGAAGGTAATAAATATCTGATAAAATAATTAAAATACGTATAAATTTTTTACTTTTTTTTTTAAATCAGTGGTTGGTTATAAAATTTTTGATTTTCACCTTAAAATATATTTTGAATTTTTTTAAAAATTTTAAAAACTCCAAAAAAAAATTACTCCCCCGTCTCATAATATGTGTCGTAATTCTTTTGTGCATGCTCCTTAAGAAAGAATATTTTTTGACTATTTTACCCTTATTAAATATTTTCTCAATTTATGTGTCATCTCTATAATGACATTATCCATATTTTTACTAAATATGAATGTAATTGATTATTAAGGGTAAAAAGGGAAAAACATAATCAATTTTGTCTTGAACTTCTAAAATAACAAATAATTTAAGATAATTATTTTTAATAACCATGACACATATTATGAGACGGAGGTAGTAGCTATTTTCAAAATTTTCACCGCTCACAAAAATTCAAAAATATAAAAAAAGTCACGTTCAAGAACCAGGAAAATGAATAAATAAAGCACACAAAATCAAAGGGTAGCTTAACCTGCTGTCACATGTGGTTGACCAGTGAGATACGTTGCTATCAAGAAATGTAAATAGAGGCCCCAGTAGTAGTTAAAAAACATAGAGATTGATGCGTCATTTAGCACAAGATACCTTGAAATTGACATAAAATCATTGAAAATTCAAGTCAATTAAGCTCCCGTGAAAACTTATATAGTAGTAACAAATTATAGTACTGCTTTTGCTGATGAACTGGTCTGTGTTGCATTACTCTTGCTTTCATCTTCAACTCTCTCTTCTTGTGGGGTTTGTTCGACAATCATTTTTCTGAGCTCCATTTGCTACTTCTTGCTGGTAATTTTCGAATCATAATTTTATTAGCACCAATTTTTTTCATAGTTTCTTGTTGAGGTTCTTGAGTTATTCTTTGATTATGTTTAATACATTCTGGTCACTTAGTTAGATCTGTCTGTTCATTTGACTTTATAAAGTTTCAGTTTTTCTGTGTGTTTTGCAATTTTGGCTTCCTCTTTATGATCTTGAATACTATTTGGGATATGGGTCTTTACAGTAAAGCTTTGGTGTTATCTATAGAAGCTTTTAAAAACATATAATTTTTTTACTAAACTTTGCACTTCAAGGTAGCCCGGTGTACTAAGCTCCCGCAATGTCAAGGGTCCATTGTACACGACCTTAACCTGCATTTCTATGAGAAGCTGTTTCCACAGCTTGAACCCGTGAACTCCTGGTCACACAGGCTCCCCTTCTAAACTTTGCACTTATACTCCCAAAAAAAGTAATTGTTGCATAATGCGCCTCAGCTGATAACTTAAAGTTTTGAGCTTTAATGGTTTTTGGGTCGCTGCAAAATTTGATCTTTTTTGGTTTTTGACTGACTGTATAATATATAGCCTCGCATCAACCGTTGTTTTTTCTGCATGAGTCATAGGTTATGTAGTCTGTTTCCGCTGTTCGTTTTTGTTTGCTTTTGATGATAGGATTGGGTGGGGGGATATAGTTGTGATGCTGTCCAGAAATGACAGATTTTAAGTTGTACAGATGAAGATGGCGATTGAGTAGAAACGAAAGCACTAATCGGGTATATGTTTCACTGTTATCTTGCACTGGTGAATCATGTTTTAGACTTTAACACTTTTACTATAGGTCCAGTTGCTTCAAGGAGTGATTTAGCCTTTCAGAGATTTATTTGTTCATAAAATATGCATAACTTCTAATACTTTTAATTCGTATTTGCATAATATAAGGATGATATAAGTTTATATGAAGTAACGTGGTCCGTGATGATTCATATTGTTGGCCCCGACTTGTTTGGAATTGAGGCGTACTTGTTGTTTGTTTTTGCTGCTCTCTCCAGCCTAACCCTGCTAGTTAATTTCCATGGATCAGCTGGTTAAACTTTATTTTCTATCACGAGAAGATTTTAGCTGAAAATGATCGAATCTGGACAAACCTTTGGGCGTAGACATACTTTTGTTGGTAAATCTGAGAAATCTGAACAGAACTTTTCAGTTTATATCTGCCCTTTATCCTCCCAAGTGACATGATTCCACCCTTTTTAAGCCTCTTATTGTTAGTCCAAATATTACCGATACCAAGATGGTCAACTGTGTAGCTCTGAGAGTTAGATTTCAATGTTCTGTACTTCATCTACAGTTAGAATTCAATTTTGTGCAATACTCTGTCTCCTTTCCATTTATGATGATAGGTGTAATTGGGTACTCGTGTTGGATTTTTTTTGTTTGGATAGCATATTCATATATCTAAGCTGGTAATATAAGTAAATAACTCTCCTTTTTGTCTAAGCAGATCAGAACTGGATGAGAAAAAAGTTTCTCCCAGTCGCGTACTTTCCTACTAAAGAATTCAGTTTGTCTCCCCTTGTGTTGTGATTTTTCAAAATTTTGATGAACTTGGCTCACATTTTAGTAGAATTTTCATTGGCGTGAAGATTATGTTCTGGTGAGTATAATAGTGGTTTCCGAATCACTATTATCCTGAAGTTGTATCTTTTCTACGCCCTCCAATTACTATATGATATTGCTGCTTGCCTTTACATCGCAAATAATACAGTTGACATTTATCTGGAGGCAGGGGCGGAGCTAGCTCTTTGGCAATGGGTTTGGCGAAACTCAGTAGCTTTTGTCCAAAACCTGTATTTGTCTTAAAAATCTATTTAATGTGTATAAACTATTAATTTAGATACTAGTAACTTAGTATTAGAATCCCAAACCTCATAAGCTTCATTCACTGCCACGCTCCGCTTCTGTCTGGAGGAGCTGTATTTCTCAATCTCCCCTTAGCTCTTTTGGTTGCTGTTCATAATAGTGTATAGATGGAAAAATCATAAAATTTGAAGAAGCAACGAAATTTATGCCGACCTGGATTTCAAGTTAATCTAGGCTATGTAGCTCATCCCATGATACGAACTTATTTACGCGTGCTCTAATTTCTATTGTCTTGCAGGGTATAACTAAATATCTATCAATCCCAGAAAATTCAAAAAGCATGGCTCAAACATTAGAAGCCATCAAGATCGGCGGAGGTTCTGTTAAAGTGGGAACTACTGGTAAAGTTAGCGCCTTGATGTCAAGAGAATTAGATTCCAAGAAACCTGATTCTCAGACGCCAACGTCATCCAAGAATAAGTCTCCTAGTGTTTGTGGTTTCATTCCTGGTAGCGCGACCAGTCCAAAGAGAATGAAGCCAAGAACATCAGGCGACGAAGCAAGCAGCAGCGGGACATCAAAGCATAATAGTAGTAAAAGCCCTGAATTTGTCAGGAAGACGAAACACTACAGTAGAAAAACACATCAAGTTCCAATACTAGTATCCGAAAATACTTCAGTTGATGGAACTCCTATTAGCCAGAAAACCGACAGAAAGGGACCTTACATGGTAGAAATTGTGGACATAAAATGCAGAAGTATGGACAGAACTTGGACAAATCCTATAAAAAATAGCCTGAAGAAGCTTGGTTTCACAAAACTATCTGAAAACGCGGTCTAAGTACGCGAACTTCAAATATCAGCCTTTAGATTCTTGTAAGTGAATCTTGAAATAGCAGCTGGTGGATTACATTCTGCAACTTCTACCATTGAACACATGCTCGGCATCAGCTTACAGCTCCGTCTCTTCTTTTTAAGATTCGTGACTAACGATCCAAGATTTGGTCTAGAGTGACTGTTAGTCGAAGCCACGTCTGAAACTTGACGACATGGCTTGTTCATGCTGTTGTGATGGTTTAGTTGTAGCCTACTGAAGTACTCAATTTCTTGTAACACGAGGGATCCAACGGTTCCTCTGCTACCTATCTCAACGAGAGGATTATTCGCAGCCATCTTCTCAGCAACTGTAAATCCTAAGCCATTAGCTTTATACTCAGATTTTTGCATGATATGAGAGAAAGTTATGGTATGAGGTTGAAGAGAAATGTGTTGGTGTTTTTTCTTGATATGAGAATTGGTCATTTTGAGCATTTTCACGACTTGTTTACCTTATATCCTTTATCTCATAAAGTGAAACCTATGGCTTAAATGAAGATGGGAAAGGCTCTCTGACCACCTTATTCATGTGTTTACAGTTAAAAAACTTTAAATTTGCTCAAGTTGTGTACCAACTTCTAACTACTTGTCCATTCATTTTATTTTCATTATACCTGGTTCGAGCCGTGGAAGCAGTCACTAATGCTTGTATTAGGGTAGGCTATCGCATTATACCCTTTAGGATGCGGTCCTTCCTCGAATCCTACGTGAATGCGGGATGCTTTGTGCACCGTATTGCCTTTTTTTTAAAAAACTAGAAGGGGGGGGG